TTACATCCGACTTATCACGAACTAATCCACACTTCGGGGATTTGATGAGTGTCAAATGTAAAGTGTTACATCCGACTTATCACGAACTAATCCACACTTCGGGGATTTGATGAGTGTCAAATGTAAAGTGTTACATCCGACCTCTCACGAACTAATCCACACTTCAGGGATTTGAGGGGTGTCACATGTAAAGTGTAACATCCGACCTCTCACGAACTAATCCATACTTCAGGGATTTGAGGGGTGTCACATGTACAATGTTACATCCGACTTATCACGAACTAATCCACACTTCGGGGATTTGATGAGTGTCAAATGTAAAGTGTTACATCCGACCTCTCACGAACTAATCCACACTTCGGGGATTTGATGAGTGTCAAATGTAAAGCATGAAAATGTTATCATACAAGGATAGTTAGGATCTCTGAAACTGTCTCATCTTGATGAAAAAGAAGAGTCAGAAAGAGTCCGATTGAGGTGTTAAAGATTGTTACGGGAATTGGTAGTGTTCATGGGTCATCTGTTTTTTTCATATTTAACAGCGAGAATAGTAGGACACAAATATACATTTTGGCAGACTAAGAATCATCTTCAGCGAAGACAGTTTTATTTTTCTAGCAAGGTGGTTGAACTTTGGAATGGGTTGCCTTCAGAGGTGGTAGATGCAGTTAACGTAATGGAGCGTCAGAGGACGATTTGATAAATATTTGAATAATAAAGACTGGCTTTGAATGTTTTATTTACATTTTAGAGTTTAGTCTAGTGGATGGGATGGCCTAGATGGACCAATAGGTCCCTTGTGACTGGGGTCATCATAGCGAGCTATTACTTAGAATCTGTCCGATATAAAGACAAATATTTAGCCATCACAAAGTTAAAACAAGGTTTTACGAGTTCCTTTATTGTACACGGCGTTACACATGGTGTTTGTTTCAACAGCTTTCGAAATAAATAAATTATGTGTTCGAAAAATCAAGACACCTTTTTTTTTTGGTATGTGTATATTTTGTACATTTATCGATGCCACGAACAAAACGTCCATACGTGTTTCTTAAAGATAAGATAACACAGTTAAGGAGAAAGGGAGGGGTGGGGGGGGGATGCTGATCGAGTTTACCATCATGAAGAATAGCTGTAACTGCATTGTATGTTTAAAAATTACTCACTGGGAAATACTTTGATGATAAATCATCCTGATTCACTCAGTTAATGGGTTTGAATAGTCAACATTCCGTATTAAAATATACATGTTACATTCTACAGTATAAGTGTTGAGAGTTAACACTCGTTCTGTATTAAATTATACATGTTACATTCTACAGTATAAGTGTTGAGAGTTAACACTCGTTCTGTATTAACATATAGATATTACATTCTATAGTATAAAGAGTAAACACTCGTTCCGTATTAAAATATACATGTTACATTCTATAGTATAAGTGTTGAGAGTTAACACTCGTTCCGTATTAAAATATACATGTTACATTCTATAGTATAAGTGTTGAGAGTTAACACTCGTTTCGTATTAAAATATAGATGTTACATTCTACAGTATACAGAGTTAACACTCGTTCTGTATTAACATTTACATGTTACATTCTATTGTATAAGTGTTGAGAGTTAACACTCGTTGAGATTTATACTTCATTCGCAATGTAGTAGTTGGGTAGTTTGAACAGTTAACAAATGTCCTATCAACAGTTTCTAGAGTTTGTGTGTGTGTGGGGGGGGGGGGGGGTTCAGAAGGTAAAGCACTAACTGGGTTCGATTCCAGAACCAAACAAGATCAGAATTATCATAAGTAAAGCTTGGATGATAAGATATTGCGATAAAAATGGTATTGAATGTAGTTGTATGTAATGGGATAAAGTTGCTCCGGTATCACATATAAGATAACAATCCAGTCGGTGCAAAGATAAAAAGAAGAAAATCTAGAAAAACAATTCAAAGTTAATGTTTTAATTGGGTGAGGTTTCAGTTTTTTTTTCTTAAGTAATGGTTTTTGAACATTTTCAATTGAATACAGAGTATGATGGCAACATAGTGTTTAGTGGACTCTGAGATGTGATACCGACGGATAATAACTTCAGAAAGTCTCTTCATTATACCGACGGATAATAACTTCAAAAAGTCACTTTGTAATACCAATAGATAATAACTTCTAAGAGTCACTTCATGATACCAATGGATAATAACTTTGAAAAGTCACTTTGTGCTACCGACGGATAATAACTTTGAAAGTCACCTCATGATACCAACTTATAATAACTTCAAAAAGTCACTTCGTGATACCAACTTATAATAACTTCAGAACGTCACTTTCTGATACCAACGGATAATAACTTCTAAGAGTCACTTCCTGACACCAACGGATAATAACTTCAGAAAGTCTCTTCATTATACCAATGGATAATAACTTTGAAAAGTCACTTTGTGCTACCGACGGATAATAACTTTGAAAAGTCACCTCATGATACCAACTTATAATAACTTCAAAAAGTCACTTCATGATACCAACTTATAATAACTTCAAAACGTCACTTTCTGATACCAACGGATAATAACTTCTAAGAGTCACTTCATGATACCAACGGATAATAACTTTGAAAAGTCACTTCAATAAAGTACATTATACAGTAATAGGTATTGATATTTTGGAATTTAAAACCTGAACGGCATGCGCATATGATATAAACAAACAGGGTCCTAATTTTGAATTACTGGCCATATGAAAAGCAACCAATAAAGCAGTAGCTACCGCTGCGGGAGCTTAGCCCAGCTCTGAACATAGCAACGTGTGTAGAGTTTTTGGACGACCCAGTACCACAAACATTCCAAACAGATTTCGCGGGAGTAAAAATATTATATTTGTTTGATCCACGGAAAAATTTTGATGCATCAAAACACATCTATTACTGTAGCAAGTAAAAAGTTAGCTATTGTGTAAGAATGAATTGAAGGCTATGTTGTCGCTGACGTGGTAGTTTTAGGACAAATCAAATACCGTCTAGCCTCAGCGTATTTCAGAGCAATACCCGCCGATTAACATTTTAATAAATTAATACGGTAACGTATATTGAATTATCACCCATTTAACATCTGTTGTTTTAAGCTCGAGTTAGAGATTAAACTGTTTAATCAGGAGCCAAGAAATATATACAGTACGTGTATAATTTATTGTAAACAAATAGCAAGTTCTTGTTTGTTTTTGTTATTGTTTTTTAGGGGGGGGGAGAGATGGACATGTAGCTAAACCACTATTCCAGTTGTAAGATGTACGTAGTGCAACTGTTATTCCGGTTGTAAAAACATATATAACTAAACTAATTTTCCGGTTGTCAGACATATATAACTAAACTAATTATCCGGTTGTAAGACATATATACAACTGAACTAATTTTCTGGTTGTAAGACATATATAACTAAACTAATTTTCCGGTTGTAAGACATATGTAACTAAACTAATTATCCGGTTGTAAGACATATATAACTAAACTAATTATCCGGTTGTAAGACATATGTAACTAAACTAATTTTCCGGTTGTAAGAAATGTAACTAAACTGATTTTCCGGTTGTAAGACATATATAACTAAACTAATTATCCGGTTGTAAGACATATATAACTAAACTAATTATCCGGTTGTAAGACATATGTAACTAAACTAATTATCCGGTTGTAAGACATATATAACTAAACTAATTATCCGGTTGTAAGACATATGTAACTAAACTAATTATCCGGTTGTAAGACATATGTAACTAAACTAATTATCCGGTTGTAAGACATATGTAACTAAACTAATTTTCCGGTTGTAAGACATACGTAACTAAACTAATTTTCCGGTTGTAAGACATATATAACTAAACTAATTATCCGGTTGTAAGAAATGTAACTAAACTAATTTTCTGGTTGTAAGACATACGTAACTAAACTAATTTTCTGGTTGTAAGACATATGTAACTGAAACACTGCTTCAGTTTCTAATTTCAACTTTAATCCTCTCATGATATAATGTACCCGATTTTTGATATGGCTACCTAATTTTTGTAAGGGCTAGTGCTGCATCACTGGATCCAGGTTCGTATCCAGTTCTAGGATTTTATTATACATTTTAAATATAATCACATTTGGGGATAAAACAAGCAAGCAAGAAGAAGAACTCTATTTTTTAATAAAAATTTAGCCTAATCTCAATATGGTAAATACTAAAAAAAGACACCAATAAACATGATTCGTTGAGGGCAAACAACTACCGGCACGTTCCACATGTACTACACTGTGTCACGTAAATGTTGCACCAAACAATGATGGCGGATGACTTCAATTTGAATTTCTATTAATTACGAAACAGAAAATGACATCAGCACCTTATGACTTCCGTCGTTTCTCAACGTCTACTGTACGTGTTGTTTAGGTTCATATTCGTGGCACTGTTTGAAATCACTGCCATCTATCGTATAATTCGACTACTTGTAAAATAATGATAAATTACACACTTCAAAATCATATTTTTTACAAATAAATTTTTTGAATAAGTACAAATAGTTAAAATTATATTATACAAAATGTTATCAAAACAAAGTATAACATATACTTAAAACTGGAACAAATAGTTGTTAAGTATTTCGGTACGGGTACAAGTGATACGCATTACGTAAATATACGCGACGTTATAAGTTCGTCAATTCAGGGCACCAACAAGTCGCGTGGGTTCCAACACATACACACATGTTTTTGGTTTAACTCTGAAGAAGTCCTAACACAAGACGTCCGTATTACGCGCAACATTGATAAAGTTAGAAATAAAATTTTCTACGGAATCAGTTTTATTTCAAATGGATGTCTTTATCTGGAGGTGTATATAGGGAAAAAGAAATAGTTAAAAGTAGATCCGGGATTTTCAAATCTTTAACAGTTTAGTTTCGTACACCTTAAGGTAATGACCCTGTTACGACAACGCAGGTCACGTGACGCTTGTGTCACGCCACGTCCTTCTCGAACATTCACGTCCCTTCCTTAAATCTCGGGATCCTTCTAGATATAGTGTAGTCTTGTATATATAAGACCGTCACAAAGTGACGGCAACAGTGTGTGTAATTGAATGAGTAAGAATATTGTTGAGCACGTGAGAAGTTCGTTGTGAGTTATAGCGTTTGTTATAGAGCGACTGTTGAAATTAAGTGTATCGTAAAGTTGTATTCGGAAAGAATAAACCAGTTTTATTTAAGAAATGACTTGTATCGGTAAAGTTTCTTCGGTAAGAGTTTGAACGGAGAATTAACTAACGAACGGAGACGTAACAACCCTTTATCTGTTTACCATTCAGCGTGAGGAAAAAGTCCAAAGATATAAGAGAACACTTCAAAACGAATATTATTTCTGAAAATGCTGCTACTTCGTTGTATCCGACAAGCTCTCACTCTAGTATTTTATATGGTTTTTCTAAAAGTCGCAAAGCCGTTACTCTCGTCTTTCCCCCTTAGTCGGTCATAGTTACAAAGTTGAAAAGTTCTTTGTCCCTGGACAACAGACACTCGTCATCAATGGATATACTATCTCAGATTATTTGCACTTTCTTCCCTCTTTACAAACATATCTCTAAAGAAAACCATTTCACGTTATAACCTTTCTGTAAATGGCTTTTTCTGAACCTCGACATACAGTATACATTGAAAGGCAACAAATCCGTGTTTTCAAAGAAAGAAATAAGCACCATTTTCACGAGTCTTCTCCCCTTGTAAGGATATAGAAACTTTCAAAACCACAGCCAAAAGCGCCATCTTTATGAAATCAATTACTAAATATGTAGCACTGACTTGTTACAGAATTCATCATGATTTGATCTTTTTATATATATACAGGTGAAGATCTATTTCAATACAATGCTAGATAATAGTGTAACTTAGGTGGGGTTCATCCATTATTAAGTACAACTTTCCGTTAAACCTCTCATACTTAATATATTTATTGAAGCCTTTTCCTCATTTTTAAATGTTATTTTTTAAATCGTCTTTTAGACACTTTTAGCAGCTACGTACCGAGCATGATTAATTCCAGTGACAAGTTCCAGCTAGGAGTTTCTCGCCCATCTCATCGACTGCCATCCACCCCTAATTATAAAGATGAATTACCCACTCCGGTAGATGATGGGTTAAAAACAGCTTTTACCGATGACATTTCCTCTTGGTCAACGTCTTCGTCGACATCGGATCTTCTATTTTAAGGTTAGGATCAACTTCTTGATTTACAAATAACATTGTTTCACTAATATTGAATTTAAAACTGTTTCGTTGAGCAAACAAAAAACATTGTTAGTCTCTACTAATTGTTACGTAATAATCATAGTCCAGCCAATCAGTGGACGAATATCTTCGATCGTATAACTAACAGCAACAGAATTATTTTCGCTGCATGCTATTTATAAATGCTTTTTTACAATACCTTATTAAAGTGTGGAAAAATATAACTGGAGCAACAATGCTTAATTCAGCTTTAATTACAACAGTACATCATGTGAAAAACATTGAGTTTTTTCTATTATGGAAACAATAATACCATTGGCGTATTGTTATTAGAGAAATATTAAATTTTAAGACATATCACAACTTGAATAACTGAATCACCTGCAATATTCCTGTACCTTCAAGAGATATCACAACTTGAATAACTGAATCACCAGCAATATTCCTGTACCTTCAAGAGATATCACAACTTGATAACTGAATCACCAGCAATATCCCTGTACCTTCAAGAGATATCACAACTTGAATAGCTGAATCACCTGCAATAATCCCTGTACCTTCAAGAGATATCACAACTTGATAACTGAATCACCAGCAATATCCCTGTACCTTCAAGAGATATCACAACTTGAATAACTGAATCACCTGCAATACTCCTGTACCTTCAAGAGATATCACAATTTGAATAATTGAATCACCTGCAATATTCCTGTACCTTCAAGAGATATCACAACTTGAATAACTGAATCACCAGCAATATTCCTGTACCTTCAAGAGATATCACGACTTGAATAACTGAATCACCAGCAATATTCCTGTACCTTCAAGAGGTATCACAATTTGAATAACTGAATCACCAGCAATATTCCTGTACCTTCAAGAGATATCACGACTTGAATAACTGAATCACCTGCAATATCCCTGTACCTTCAAGAGATATCACAACTTGAATAACTGAATCACCTGCAATATTCCAGAACTTCGAGGCTGGCTACCACGTCGACCTCAGAAATGACTGCTTTTAAGCTGGATTTTCCTCAGGGCACAACAAATAAGCAGCGATTTATAAGTGACAAACTGCAAACCCGAGGACACATCATACTAAAAGGAAGTACTGAACTCTTGGGTGTTCGTAATGGTGTAGGTCCGCTTCTTAAGACCTGTCAATACAACTCCACCGCCAGTGTAATGTGGATGATCATGACGTGTTATTCACATCGAAGTACAAACATGATATCAGAAAGGAAAGGAAGATCTGCTGAAGAAAGTCTTGGACTGATCTGTGCAAGATCAGAACTGCTGAAGAAAGTCTTGGACTGATCTGTGCAAGATCAGAACTGCTGAAGAAAGTCTTGGACTGATCTGTGCAAGATCAGAACTGCTGAGGAAAGTCTTGGACTGATCTGTGGCCCGGCATGGCCAGGTGGATAAGGCGCTCGACTCGTAATCTGAAGGTCGCGGGTTCGAATCTTCGTCCCACCAAACATA